AATATGAGTCTCCCTCCAACCAGTTGCGCCCACTCAAATGCCAACCCGCGCGGGGCTGCAACAAGATTCGATAGTGTACACTGGCTCCGCTGAACTGCAACCGTGCTCGAAAAGGAGTTGTGATGTATTTTGTTATGTTCTAACGATTCTTGTCAATTCAAAGCATTGACATAATTTCAGCCAGGGACATGCTAATTAGACATGGATTTCCCAGAAACAAAATAATTACGTATGATGGGACCGTTTGGCAATAGGAAAAAAAAAGAAATGTAATGGCCTCTAAACAAAGAAACAAAATAAAACATTCCTCTAGTATCAAAAGGGGGGTAACCACTATATGTACACGTATAAGGTCATGTAGGCAATTCTAGAGAATTGGCAAAAAATGGAAGTCATTAATGGCCAAATGGCAGGCGCCATGTAGGTCGTCATGTAGCAGCGGCCATGTGGAATGCCATGGGCGCTTCCTTCTCCTCCCTCCTCTGCTTCTCCTGGGAGCGGAAGAGGCGAGTGAGCGACCCCTCTCGAGTGGCGGGGCGCTGCTTAGGCGACACGGCAGGAGGGCTCCACACCCAAGAGGCAGATGGGGAGAAGGGCGAGAGGGCCGGGGTGATAGAAGCAGCTGTGGCAGATGGGATGTGCACTGAGCGGGATGTGGTTGTGGGAGGTGCGACAGAAGCAGAGGCTGTGCTGCTCAGCTGGTCCATCATGTGTTGAATGCGGTGCAGTGCGGTGGTGATGGCTGCACCGCCCACTGCAGCAGCGCCAGGAGCCAGCAGCCTGGTTGCAATCAGCTGCACCCGCGGGTCCAGCAACGAAGGGGGAGCTACTGCTGCCGCTGCTGCTCGTGAGGCGCCTGTACTGCTCTCTGCGTGCTTGCAGCACAGCGGCAGCTGCCGCAGCAGGCCAGCCACGGCCACCTCAGACGCACCTGCTGTGCCACTCCCCACAGCCCCCCACACCACCCGCCTTCGCACCACACCATTGCGCACACTCCCCTCCAAGCCGCCGCCGCCGCCAGCAGCCCCGTCAGCAACGCCGCCGCCACTTCCGCCGGCGCCGCCAGCAGCAGCCGCAGCGGCGGCGGCGGCGGTGGCGGCGGCAGCGCCTTGCGGGAACCAGAGCTTGGCCATGTAGCGCGCCTTCCGCCAGGGCGCGATGGGCAGCGCGACGGTGAGCAGCGACTGCTGCGCGGCTGCCGCCATGAGGCGCACGAGCGCGCGCAGGCGCGCGTACGACCCCACAAACACGCGCGGCAGCAGCGCCAGCAGCTGCTGGTAGCGCCGCGACGGCCGCGCCACGTGGAACTGCTGCTGGAACGACACGTCGACCACCGCGGACGTGAGCGGCCCGGGGGAGGCGAAAGAAGGCAAGCTGTTACCAGCGCTACTGGCGTCGCTAGCATCACTGTTCCCAAAGCCGCTGTCGCCGTCACCAGACCTCCCAAGCGAAACTTCCAGAAAATGGTGGTGGCCAGGTGGCATGTCCTGATTGGCCATCCACATGGATTTGCAGAGGATGACGACATGCCCCATGGCGGCAAGAAACGCCGCCAGAGCCACCCTCTCTGCCGCTTTATCGCACCCAGGACACGCCGCCATGTCGCTGCTGCTCGCACGTTCCCCCTCCCCCTCTACCCCTCCGGTCTCCCCCCTCTGCGACTGTGCGACAGCTTGCGACTGCGCATCAGCGTCGCTACCCGACTGCGCGAGTGCGATGGCTCCCAGGACGTCGTTCACGCTCTCCTCGAGCCGGCTCTCTGCTGCTGTTGCGCCGGACAGGCACTGGAAGAAAAGGGAACGGGGGAGGCACAAGAAGAAGACGCACGCGTTAGCATCAAGCTTGTGAAAAGAAAAAAAACACAACAAAACAAACAAAACAAAACAAAAACCAACGAAAAAACTAAAACAAAGTCTTAGAGTGCTCGCATCTCGTCCCCGCGCTTACCAGCATCACGGCGTGGGTCAGCTGCTGCCACTCTGTCACGTCGTCCGCCGTCTCCCGTCGCTCGCCGGACGGCGAAGCCCCTCCGCCCGCCAGCACGTCGCAGAACACGCGGCCAGAGACCCCAGGCAGGTCGTCCTCGTCGCCACCGCCGTCACCGTGCGACTCTTGCTCGTCGCCTGCGTCGCCTGAAGGAGTCGCTTCTTCCCACTCCCAGTGCGGTTCTGAAAGCCCGTAGCTCGCGCTGACCGCGCCGTCAGCAGGGAGGGCGGTAGTAGAACCAGCAACAGCAGCGGGTGCACGCGCGTGGATCGCGGAAATCGACGGATCGCTAGCGGCTCGTGGCAGCGCCGTGCTATCATAGCGGACGTGCGCATAACGGGGGAAGTCACCAACGCGCTGCTCGCCAGCCGCGGGGGAGGAAACGGCTGAGCGGAACCGCGCGACGGCGGAAGGAGTGTCGGACGACGCGCTGTGCGACCGCAGGTGCAGGTCGTGCGAAAGGAACCTGTCGGCGACAGACGCTCGCAGAGGGTCGGTGGCGCTGCTGGTGCGACGGGGAGCGGCGGCGCCAGCGGCAGAAGCTGATGCTGACGTTGCTGCTGCGGCGGCGGCGGCTGCGCGGAGGGGGTTGCGCGCCGTGGACGAACGCACGGGCTGAAGCGTAAGGCTTGATGGCGCCATGAGTGCTTGGTGAGCGAAAGTAGTTATGCGTGTAGTGGCGATAGTGCTACTGGTGAAGCGCGATGCTGCACTTTCAGGAACGTAATTAGAAGCTTGGCGAAAGCGGCGCGTCCAGATAGCTACTACGACTCTGCGTGACGATACAAGGGTCCTTCAAAATGCTCTTTTGAAAAAGGTTTGCCGCGACGGTGCGGTGCCTTAGTAGCGGCGAGAACTCTCAGTTTCACCGTCCCTAAGAAGTGGTGGTCTGGCGAGTACTACTGTGGGATCTGAAAGACCATTGCCTGAATGATGATTAGATCTAGGACTTCTGAAGACTTATATATCGGCTCAGATCAAATTGAGGGGTAATGGCAGTGGATGGTTGGGGTGGTAGGGTCAATGCAATCCCCCCTTGCGCTCGGTCACTTTTCTGTGGTCTGACAACGAACCATTTCCCATTGTGTGGTTCAAGTTCATTGCACTGAGCAAGCGAGTGTTCGCGGATGAGAGGAGCAGAGTGATCCGTTTCACCAATACACTGATTCTGGACACCTAGGACCGGCGAGACGGCTTAGAGAGTAGCTGGACGGACTTCGGTTCTCACGGGCTCGATTCAGGCTAACTAGGACCGAGAACGTACGTACGTACGTGGCACCAACCGGTTAACTGTAAGCCTGACACGCGTTAGCAGTCAAGCGAAACTGTCGATCGTACTGTATCAAGTGTGCACAGTAAAGGTATTTTGAGGACTAGTTAGTAGGCAGCCATTTGTCTGGACGGAAAGGTATATTCGTCAATGGCGTTCCACGCGTTGACTGGGTCTGGCCTGGCTTGATCTTATCCTTTGGGATTGTTCCTGAAACATCGAACGGAGACATTGAATTATAATGGATGTTCAGTGCGAGAGGCTGGGGCGAAGAATGCAAACGGGCTCTAGAATAACTGAAGGAGATCCCAATGGGCGCGCTAATCCTGGCTGATGGTGGTTGTTGTGGGTGAGAGAGCAATTGGGTTGAGTCAGGGCGAGGAAGGGAAGGGAGGTGGGGAAAGGCTTTGGCGCTTGTATGCCTGCCCCCGCAGGGGAGCATGCGCGGCTGAGGGAATGCGCGGGAGGTCGAGGAACAGCAGGCAGCGAAGGGAAGAGAGGGAGGGGGGCTAGCGGAGAAGGGCACGGCAGGTGAAGCGGATGGTAGGCGTATGGTCGCCTGAGGTCTGGTGGAAGGGGGAAGAGGCGGTGGCTCGTTGCGGAATTTGGTTTGTATGAAGGTGGGCTTCCCCGTTTCGGTGGTTCGCGCGCGGCGGATTCACCCCCGATTCCGCGAACCACATGCATGCGGCTCGGTTCGTTGAACTCCAGCAAATTGCGCGTAGCCTCCCTTTCCAGCCCCGCAAGGGATCCCCCCAACCCGAGTCAAGGGTTTGTCCACGTCAAGGCGTAGCGCATGAACGGTGGGGATGCTCACGTGTGACGCCCACCCCACCCGCAAACGGTCGAACAAGGTCTTGGGGGATGTGTGACCAGATTCTTTGTACCTAATCGGCACGTAAACGAGATGCAATGCACAGAGCAGAGTAAATATCTAAGGAGTAACTATTAGTATTAATATTACACTACCAAGAAGTAACTATCTGTACAAACAATATAATAACTCCAGTTCGCTAGCAAACTGGTTTTAAAGTGTAGGAAAGACTGTTTTGAACAAGTAATGTTTCTGCCTGTAGCTGTAATTTCATTTTAAGTATAAACATCTTTGGTGCTGCGATCAGAAGTTGATCGTGGCCTAGGATCTACTCAGGAAGGTTCGCACACAGTACGGTAGTGCTGGTGGGCCCTTGACCTCAATAGCAGAGTGAATGTAAAATGCTTGAGATAATAAAAACATGCAAACAAGGTGATATAAATAAGAGTACAATGGAATACGAAAAGACCTAACTAGCCATGTACTCTAAGGGGTACATTCCCTTATTCAAATGCATTCCCAACCGTGCGGCGCGTACAGTTTCGTAACTGTTCCCGCCAAAACCACCTTGCCTGCAGCTGCCCGATGCCGTCTGCTCCGATGGTCAAGATGCGTCCCAACTGTCTGACGCTTCGAGTCAATTCCAACCGTCTGACGCTTCGCGTTCATTCTCGTTACTGCGTGCTTCTCTTTGCTGCGGTGAGGAGTGCACAGTAATATCAAATGTTACTATTCGTAACACCCCCCTTCACTCCTGGCCGTAGCTCGACTTGACCTGCTTGACCACGCCGCTGAGTTCGGAGCAGTGTTGATACTGCTGGCGTGGCAGTCGCTTCGTGAGGAAGTCTGCTGCCATGTCACCGGTCGGGCAGTAGGTCAAGTTGACCTTGCCCTTGTCCACCTCATCCTTCACAAAGAAATACCGCAGCGCAATGTGCTTGGTGCGGTTGACGAAGCCAGGTTTGTTCGCGATACGAATCGCGCTCTGGTTGTCGCAGTGAAGGCGGAAGGTCGGCGAAGTCGGAATTTTCGCTTCTTGCAGGAGTTCCTGCAGGTAGAGGCCTTCGCGAACTGCTGCGGTTGCTGCGATGAATTCCGCTTCGGCTGATGACAGGGCAACCAACTCCTGCTTCTGCGAATTCCAGGAGATTGGTCCCGATGGCTCGAGTCGGAACAGGAAGCCGGTCCTGGACCGTCGATTATCAGGGTCTGCTGCGTGATCGGCGTCCACGTAGCCTACGAGGTTGAAGGATGGAGTTGGTGCAGTTGAGTAGCACAGCCCAATCTTGGGCGTTGAGACGAAGAATTGAAGAGCGCGCTGCAGGTCCAGATGATTCTCAGCCGTTGGTTTGCGTGAGTACTGCGCCAGCTGACTGGCAATGTACGAGAGGTCTGGCCTGCAGGTGACGGAGGCGAAGAGAAGGCATCCCAACTGCTGCTGGTAAGTCTGAATCCCAGCAGGGGATAGGGCTTTGTTGTCAGGTTTGTGGTTCGGTCCGGGGGTTCGGTAGGGAGTTGAGAGAGGTGCAGGTGAAATGTTGAACCGTTTCCCCAGCTCCTCTGCGTACTTAGCCGCTGAGAGATGAATGGCCTCAGGCGCGTAGGAGATGTTGAGGCCTAGGAACTGCTTCACCTCGTAGTTGCACGTAATGTCGACGCGCCCCGCCAAGGCCTTCTCGAACTGCTCCAGAAGCTCATTGTTTGAGCCTGTGTAAAGCAGGTCGTCGACGTACACGGTGAGGAGAATGTATTCGAAGGGAAATCGCGGCGGTACATTCCTGGGTCGTGTGGCATCTGCTTGAACCCGATTTCAAGCAGGATGTTGTGCAGGTACTGCTGCCACAGCCTCGGAGCCTGCTTAATGCCGTAGAGTGACTTGCGCAGCTGACACACGCGCGAGTCTCCTTCGCCGTAGGTGTGCGGCTGCTCCACGTAAATCACGGCGTCCACTAACGCGTACAGGAACGCGTTCTTCACGTCGATTTGACGGAGTGGCAGGTGCCTTGCAGCTGCGATGGCGAGCAAGATGCGGACGGAGGTGTGGCGGCTGACTGGGGCAAATGTCTGGTCGAAGTCGATCCCATGCCTCTGGTCATAGCCGCGAACCACCCAGCGCGCCTTGAAGCGCTCGATCGTTCCATCCGCCGCGGTCTTCACGCGGAAGACCCACTTCCCCGAGAGGATCCTTGCGCCCTTGATTGCTGCGCGGTCGACGAGCACCCAGGTGTCGCGTGACTCCAGTGCCTTGATTTCCGCGTCCATCGCCTCACGCCACTCCTTGCTGTGTGGTCCAGAGAGAGCCTCGCGCGGATTTCGGGGCTCGATGATGCGCGGCGCCTTCGAGGTTGCGGCGTGAAGGCCGAGTAGCTGCAGTCCTGAGACGGTGTTGTCGTGGCGACGTTGCGGGATGACCTCCTGAACATCGTCGTCGTCGCTTTCAGGTTCGGGTGGTACTGGTGGTGCTGCGCCTCCGCCGCTTCCGCCTGTTCCGCTTCCGCCTGCTCCTCCTCCCGAGGAGTTGTCGTCGTCGTCGTCCCTGCTGCGCCGATCCTCCCATGTGAATTCTCCCCTTGTATCCTGCTCCAGGATTGCTGCAGCGGCTTCGTCTTCAGGCGTTGCGTAGCTGTGGCCATTGTTGGCGTAGACGCGATTCGCGTTCGCCTGCTCGTCGCGGCGAAACTGGTCGAGGAAGAGACGTTCGTAGAAGATTACGTCGCGGGCATGGACGGTCTTCTGGCTGAGGAGGTCCAGCACGGTCCACGCCTTGTATTCGTGGCTGATGCCGAGGTGAATTCCCCAGCGCGCGCGGCTGGCAAATTTGCCGATGGTTGATGTTGGCGGGCGGTACTGCACCATGCATCCCCATACGCGCAGCATCGATGTGTCCCCCTTAGTCCCGGTCCACTTGACGTGCGGGGACAGATTGCCGGTGATGGCGGTGGTCGAAAGCAGGTTGTGCACCCGTACGGCGTGGTGCATCGCGTAGGTCCAGTAAATCGGCGGCAGCTTTGACTGCTTCATCAGCGCGCGCACCTTCGTCATCAGCGTGCGGTTTGTCCGCTCAGCTACGCCCTGCTGCTGGTGCGCGTAGGGAAGGGAGATGTGGTGCTCGATCCCCTTTTGCGCCAGGAAGGTCTGCATCTGGTTGCTCCTGAATTCTGCTGCGCCGTCGGACTGCCAAATCTTGAGCTTCTTCCCAGATTGCCGCTCCGCGTGCGGCAGCCAGAGGCGAAATACCTCGTAGGCTCTGTCGCGCGACTCCACATTCACGACCCACACGTAGCGCGTTCCAGCGTCGATGAAGGTGAGTGTGTATAGCTCGTCCTCGACTCCGCAATGCCCCACGTTCAGGAAATCGCTGTACACCTTGTGCAGCTTGGGGTAGCGGTTGGTTCCAGGTTCGAGCAGCGGGAACGGTTGGTGGCTCAGCGCAGCTTCGGGGCAGACGGTGCAGTTGCGCGGATGTGTCGTGCCACTCACTTCGGAGCCATCAGGGCGCAGGAGTGCGCCAGGAGCGAAGACGCCAGCGTCGATGCAGTTTTTCAGCGTCGCGCGGGA